CATACCAACAGGTACTTCTATAAGGATGCTGCCACAGTCAGAAAAAGGACAGTTACATTTTTTGTGTAACTGCAAAAATCCATTCATGTTTTAACCAATCCATAGCCAGCCTTCATAGAAAATTAGCTGCTATATTGCAACATTTGGGCTAAATTTGTGGGCTCCACACAACAAAGAATCCATGTGCTAATTAGCCCTCTAACTCATGACTGGAACCAGGTATTCTTGTCGTGAGTCCTGGGATCCTCCAAAAATGTATATGAAGATGAGGCTCAGTTGTGGGAATAAAAAGGAAATCTAAATGTATTGAATGTAGTGGCTTACTATGACTTTAAAAAGAGTTGGTGCTGAGGAGGACTGCATGCAATGGGCACTATCATGTATCTTAAGATGGGCTGCACTAACCTATCCTTGTGGTAGTTTCCCATCAGTATGTTTGCCCAATATGGGCCATATATTTTGGTTGTGCTCGGTTTTGACTGCATTTAATCAACTTCATAGTTGCTTTTTTATTACTGAGCATATACTGCTTTTGGCAGCAGTTTAATGATAAACAACATATTTAATAATGTTTCTTTGTATGCAAATGTAAGACAAGGGTTTTTCCCCCCATGCTGACTGAGGGGAAAAAGCCCCTCATCTTGTATTCAAGTAAACACAGTAATAAAAGTATAGTTTTCTTAAAGCTACTCAGTCATCCAAATGTTTACCAAAGCATACTCATGCAACAGCTCTACTCTGGCCAGCCTGCCTGCAAGTTTATGACTACAATTTCCACAGTATTACTCTGTCACTTTACCCTCCTGCTATGGATGTCACCGCACTGCCATCACTCCCTCACATCCCATCATCATGTAAGCACAGTGAAACAGCACACTTCCTATGACTATTCAAAGCACCTTCAGGACCAGACAGACCACTCAAGCATTTTGGTGACATCATATTGCCCTCAAAGAGGAGCTCCCCCCCACCACAATAATACCTCAATGGCCATCGACCCATCTACTAGTACATATTATTCAAACCCTATTATGAACAGAGAATTATTAATTCTCATGGACATTTCAATAGACTTCATTTAAATATTTGAGTATTTCACATACATTAATGAATCTACTTTCACAAAACTGCTAGGTGATAAAGAGACTATTACCATTCACATTTTACTGTTAGGGAACTGAGGCAAAAAGAGATTAGGATCAAAAGTAATTTTGGGTGCTCCATTCAAGCCATCCAGGACCAGAATTTTTAGAATAGTAATTGTTACACAGCATTGTATATGTTCAAAGCACAGCTCCATTGACTCTAGTTGTGGGTCTAAGTACTTAACACTTGAAAAAAAAAAATCAGACCTCAGGGCCTCAAGTCAGGCAACCAAAAACTCTCTAATGCTCAAGACAATATTCTATATTGTATTAATCACAGTATCTTCTTTTCTCTTCCCGCAATCACTTATCACATTCACTACACCTCTTCCAACTTTTTGCACAATGAAGGAGAGTTACAATGGGCAAGTCGCTTGTAACCCTGATTTACATTCAGAGAAAATCCATCCTGTTCAAGGCAGTCCTGAAAAAATAGTACTCAATTGTATAATTAACAACTGTATTTTAATGCATGTGCACAAGGGGATTAACAAGTAACCATAATCCTAACTTTTAAGATGGGAGTCTTCTGAACAATAGTGTTTATCAGGGATGAGCTTATATTCTTGTGTCAGAGTATAAAGAGAAAAGCAAATGGCACTCTCAATTCCCTTGCAACTCGAAGTTTGTGTTTGTTGAAGACTCCAAAAGTAAGATACATGACATGCTCTTTTAACCATCCTGACAGCTCTACAAACCAGAATTACTGAAGATTAAGTCACACTCAAAGAAGAAAGAATGTCGTCTTTGTGACTACCCACCAGCAAACAGTATCTATTCCAGATGGCAGAATGAGAAATTTCAGCTATATTACTTGAATTTTAGTAGTGTTCTCTCAAATTTGACTTCTGACCTAGCAGCTAAGTCCAAGACATATTTTTACAAATAATTTGATGAATTTCAGTAAGTTACTTCCAGATTTTGGATGCTGGCACTCTCTTGAAAAAGACAGAGGATGTCTGCCTCCTTAGCTCTTTGCAAATGCTATGAGGGACAATCTGGATGGTTTGGTTCTATCAAAGTGATAAAGGGAACTTGTACAAACGTCCAGTGTAAACCTTCTCTCCTAATGAAGAATGGAGTGTCTGTGGAATATCATCTGTAACAAGAACTGACCTGGAGCCAACCATGACTCCTATCTGCTCCTGTAGATAGAGGTGATTTTCATACATCACCAGGAGGCCTAGCTGGAAGAACAAGGAGAAAACTATTATAAGCTTACTGTCGTCTCCTGCTGGGATCTGTCCCAATCAGTTAATCATCTAGTTAAAAGTTGGTATAGATGCTCTTTCTTTATGCTGGTATTGACTCTAGTTAGTCTAGTTCTGGCTTGTCCAACATGCGGCCCGCCAAGCCGTTTACTTTTTTACCCCCCCCTTGTGCCTCCCCCAGCCCCTCAGCAGCTTCCTAATGTCTGAAGGGCTAGGGAAGGGACAAGGTTCCCACATGCACCGTGTCAGCTTAATGTTGCTGACATGGTGAGTGTGGGAAGAGGAGTAGCCAGCAGCAAAAGCGTGGGTCATCAGTGTGGCGCAGGGCGGTCCCAGGCGGAACCTGCACTGGCCAGCACTGCAGGCGGTGAGAGGAGCCCAGCCAGGCACACGTGGGTCGAGGGAAGCAGGGACAAAACCCCCCCAGACCCTCCCTGGTCAGCTTCCCCTGCACCTGGCTCTGCCCCTTGGGGCTGTGGCGGGGGAGAAGGAGGCATCATCCCAGGGCCCCTGCGCCTACCCCGTTCCGCGCTCACCTGCGTGGTTCATCTTCCCAGTGGCAGGTAGAGAAGTGGCAGCCGGGGGCTGCCTGGGCGCTGCCCCGTGCCCGGCTCACAGGTCCCCGTGTGAGCACACGGCGCTGGCCCGGGTTCACTGTGCCACCTCCACCTGCTCCTCCTCCCTCCCTGGCAGAGGAAGCCCCCCTTTTTTGTTTTGTTGGCTCTGGGCTGGGAGCTGCCAGGCAGGTTTGAAAGGTGCAGCGAGGCCGGGGCAGGGGGCTTGGGCAGCCTGGTCCCAGGCAAGCAGCTGCTCCACCTGTAGTGCCCGGCACGTGTGGGCTGCAGCACCACGACCCTCGCCCAGCTCCTCCTGTGCATCCATTAGAAGCTTTGTACATCCATCCTGTGCATCCATAAGAAGATTTGTTCTTATAACTCAAAAGGACGCCATTAAAGGTGGAAGTGATGGGAAGTTCTGTGGCACCCTTGTAAGATTCTGTCTCATCCAGTCTGAAGTCCAGTGTAACACAGGCCATAGAATTTCACCTGCTGAATTTCACCGCATCCTATGAGTTCTTTGAATATGGCTCGCCGGCCCACTGGGTGATAAAAAGTTCATGATCCGGCCCCACATTCAAAAAGGTTAGACACCCCTGGTCTAGTTAGTCTTTTCAAAAGACATGCAGTGCTATGGAAAGTGTGAATGGCAAACTTTTGTATTGAAAATGGCTGTGCCCCTTGGTTAATGTGCGCAAAAGAACATGTTTTTTCCTAGCCACAATTGTTAATGTTTGGTAAAAATGTTTAAAACAATTCAGCCTCTGGCAGATATACCACATGGAAAATTATAGCCCAAATGACAAAAGTTTTTCAAAATTATAAGACACTGAAAAATATAAGAAGCATTGAGCAACCTTAATAGGCAGTGCTATCCATGAACGGATCCAGGATCACAAGAAGAGGGTACAGCTACATCCCTTTGGCTGCATGGCACATGCACACTGAAGGAAGTTAATTACACATGCTGTACACAGCCAAGAGGGGTTTGGGCACATCCCCTTCTCCTTGATCCTGGATGCCAGTGAGCTCAGAGAGCTGAGTGTGAACAGCAGTGGCACTCACCCCTGGACTCAGGAGCTGTATGAAAGCCAGGGATTCAGCCAGCCCTTATGCTAATCAGCTGCTGAGCTCAGCTCATGCACTGCACAGCCAAAGGAAGATACAACCACACTGCCATAATCCCTGGATCTGCCCCAGGCACTGTCTATAATAGAGTGAACAGATGAGGGAGCAGGATGGATAAGAGAAAAGGAAACCAAGCAGAAAGGGATTAAATGTTAGGGGGTAGAGAGAAAAGAAAGCCACAAGATTGCATAGGAAGAAAAGAAGACTGTGTAGCACAGGTAGACACTGAAAGAGGAAACACTGGAAGTGTCTCTACAGATGAAAGTAGAAGCAGGGTATTAGAGTAGGGTATCAGCTGGCAGAGAAGTTTGTGCTCGACAGAAAGGAACTTGGCAGCAGTGAAGCAACTTTAGGGGAGCAAAAAATAACACAACGAATGGAAAGTGATTTAAATGAACAGCAACAAAAGACAGCATTACTCTTAACTCCTCCCCTTGAGAGAAAACACTTGTATTTTTAATTGTGTTTCATGACATCACACTATCTTTCCATAAGTAATTGTGGCAGTAGTTGTATTGTATTGTGCAAATGCAAGTAAGGTTATAATCAGAAGAGAAGGCATGCGCAAAATCCTCTACTAACCACAGTCGCATTATGTCAAAACTAGATAACCTTTCTATATAACTTAACCTTTATATATAACCACAGGACTATTTTTAAAAGTTATAGAATACTGTAGATGTCATTGTTAAACATCCTCTATAATAACAATTACTCAAATGTACCTGTATTAATTTTAAGGAAAATGTTCTTTCTCCAAATGCACTTAAATGATCTAAATTCAGCTCCTGTTTTTTTCCCCCAATAATTATTTCAAATGATACTAGAAACTAAGTTTTAAACACTTTCCCTTATCCACTTAAAAAAGTGAAGCCTCATGATGCATAGATGTGATTTGAGGACGTGTACTTAACCACACATCCTGTCAGATATGGAAATTCTGATTAATACCAACTTACATAGCTCCATTTGTGTAGACTGTGTCACTTCCCTCCACATACTGCACCTGTGCTGGGTAGACATGCTGTACCTGCTGCACAGTCTGCACCTGTTGTACCTGTAAATAAAAACACCAGGGATATGGGATATTATATATTAAAAGAATGTCCAGTGATTCTAAGGCTTACTAAGCTATATGAATAATTGTAGGGTATGTCTATTCTCACAATAACTAAATAAAGAATTCAGTAGTTGAGGTACAGATCTGTAATATGGTTAATAATATGGTTATGGAAGTACTGATATGAGAGATCAATACTCTTGGGAGAGCATGTACTCTCAGTGTCAAAAGTCAGACCATCTGGAAAGCAGTGGCTACTAAAGCCATCCAATATGTACTCCTCTGCAGTGACAGTTGACTTCGGTTACTTCCTACATAATCATAAGGTTTTATATAAGGAAAGATAGATGGGTTGTACATCTATTCTAAGAATTACATTTACTAAGTAATCAAGCTTCCTTTGGCCTTCTCTACATTCTAGTTCAATTGGCATAGCTGGACTGGGACAAACTTCTAGTGTAAATACATTGTTATGTTGCTGCATTAGTGTGGTTTACATCTGGTTCCAACCTAGAACAGGCTATATTTATAGAAATCACTCATGCCAGAGACATCAGTGTAAAACCTCAGTGTAAGCAAAGAGAGTAGAGTCCCCACTTCTGGAAGGTTAACCAGTAGTAACAATCCCAAATGAAGTGGTTCTCACAAATACAGGTTAAATAATAATTAGAAAAATGTTTTCCCAAAGGCAGCATTAAGGGAGGGATGCTGTACCTTAACTACAACGCAGTTCTCTTGTGATGGTATACAGATCTCATTAGTCAGCCTAGAGAGAACTGCTTTGACCCAGGCACTGCATAGGATAGCTGCAAGGCTGCTCTCCGCAGATTCCCTTGTAAGCCTCCACACCGAGGTAGGGAGTGTCAAGCCAGGAAAGGAAAGCTCTATAACACAATATGCTGAGGAAATCTGATCAACTCCACACACCAGACTTGCCATAACTTAAAGCAATTTTGTTTTGGCTCTTGACCAGTTCAGAACTCCAAGATCACACAGAGGCTTAGAACACAATTTTAGTCTGGGAATCAAATGAGAAAAGTAATGTTACATACATTTGGGAACTGATTTTTAGGAAAAAGCCTTACATATCTCAGTGAGAGATATTTTTCTTAGATATGCTGTTGTCAGTCAGACTTGGAGCTGGGAGAATATTATTATTTTTTGATTTATATGCTGCCCTCTCCAAAAAGGCTCAGGACAACTTACAATAAACTCAGGATAAATTATAAAGACAGAGAAAATATTAAAATAAAATAGCAAGAAACAGAAAAACTCCTCAAACAATGCCCCAGAACTTAATCCTGACTGCTAAAAGCCTGCCCAAATAAAAAGATCTAACAACAATTCTGGAATATGTCCAGGTTCAGCCTCTGATGAGCCTCGTGAGAGAGAAATTCCAAAGCTGAGGAGTGACAACCGAGGACAACCTCCCATGTATTTTTGCCAAACAAACGTGCGCAAAGATGGAATGCACAGAAGGCTGCTTTCAGCTGACTTTAGGAACTGTGAAATATAAAGGAGAAGGTGGGTTCCTCAGGTATGTAGAGCCCAAGCCACTTAGGACTTTATAACTGAAAACCAGAACCCTAACTTGTGCCTGGAAAGCTATACGAAGTCAATGCAGACTCTAATTATGTGCTCCTAGTGAACCACCCACGTTAAGAAGATCAACCCACTCTTCCAGTTCATAAGGTCTGCTAACTAACATCGTCTCTGTCTCATCAGGATACAGTTTCATTTGGTTCACCCGTGTCCAATCCCCAACTGTAGCAAGGCCTGGGTAGGGATCAAGACCGCAGGTTTGGTTTAGATCGGGGTGCTCAACCCCTGGCCCATGGGCCACCTCCAGTCCTTGGTACTCTGTCATCTGGCCTGCCCCACACTGTGGCCCTGCATGGTAGATTGGGCACACGGGGTGACAGGGTGCCTGATCCCATGTCATGGGGCCAGGAGAGGGGACTGTGGGGCCCCAAAGCCTGATCCCAGCATGTGAGGCTGCCACAGGGACCAGGGCCGGGCAGGGGTGGTATGGGGTTCTATTTGGCCCATGCACAGGTCCTGCACCAGTCTTTTGGTTCATTGGGCCAAAACCTTGAGCACCACTGATTTAGATGAAAGAGAGACAGAGTTGGATGTCATCAGCATATTGATAGAAAAACTCTACATGATAACATTCAGTAACCTCAGGTACACAGAACAGAAGATGCAACAAGATGGAATAAGGGGACGATAAGGTGCGGTAAGTAATCTATTACCAAGTTTGGAATCTCCTTCTGCTAGGAAAAAACAACCAATTAAGAGTGGTCCCATGAATACCCACTAGGTCATATACACGTGGCCCACCAGGTCATGTATCAACACCTCATGGTTAACTGTACCAAAGGCCACTGAAAGATCAAATAGGATCAACAGGGTACATTCCCCTGTCAATCTCCAGGTGGAGATCGTAGACCAAAGCCACAAACACAGTTTCTGTGCTGCACCCAGGACAAATACCAGGCTGACAGGGGCCAAGGAATCCAATAGCATCCAGATGAGCTTAGAGTTGTAAGGCAATCACCTGTTCAACAGGCAAGGATTTTTGTGGGCGATATATTTTATTTAACCAACTGCACGGCTGGGATAGATTTAGGTAAGTTTTTGAATGCAAGTCATTCTTCATTCTGAAGAAGAATTAATTGTATTCAAAACATTCATCAATGAAGTTTCCCAAAAAAGAGAAGGTTGGAAACAGATTGATAGCTGGAGGACAAGTCAGCATCCAGAGTAAGACTTAAGAATGTGCAGCATCCTACATTCGTGAAGGGAGGCATTGACAACTCTCACCAGCAGTGGTCCCATAATCTCCCCTTGCTGGCTGTTACAAGCATAGGAACTGACTTTGGGTTTTGCTGGTGGGTGCTTGCAGATGTAAACAGAAACCAAAAAAATTTGGCACTTTAAACTTGGTGCATTCCCATGCATGCCCAGAAAAGTCAGTGAGTTACTTTAACTTGGATCTGCAGTATCTGTAAAGATTAGGTGCTTTAGTGGGACTTTTTTGGTGCTTTTATCTAATAAGTGATTGAATTAACTTTAGTTAAAAGCATAGGCGACTGGTAGGAAATGCACAGGGGTGCACGTGCCCCCCCCGATGGGCAACGATGCTGTTGGTAGAGCTGGTGCCCCCCCGACAGGGCCGCTGCTGTCAGCGGCTTC